AAAAAAAAAAAGAAGAAGAAGAAGAAGAAGAAGGAAGCTGGATAGAATTGTGAGATAGTCGATACAGCATAATACAGAATACACTTTGGTTTCAGCTTCAGTAGTGGAAAATTTGAACCAGTTAAAAATGGAGTCCAAAATAGACAATTTCAACAATGTGTTAGCGATGGAATAATGGTGATAGTTAAGCTCAGATGACAGGTTCATTCAGAACAGCTTCTCCTAATTTGTTGTTACCTAGATATAGCTAATTTTCTCATGATCTCCAATGATCACTCTGATTATTTTAGAGTCATTGAGGTTGTGCAACTGATAATTTAAGACCTCTCCACCAGCATATACTCCTTGGGTGTTTTAATAAAATAAAATCAGCAAACAACAAGAAGTCTTGACTCTCCAAAATCTCCAAAAAGTTTGACTGCATCATATCTCAGGAATATGAAGAACTAAATTGTGCCAATAAGCATGTGCCAATCATTACTAAAATAAAGTTTCATCCATTTCTTTTAGTGCATTCCATTTCAGCTATGTGGAGATTCCCTCTGCTGGTCTTACATTATATACTTTGATCGCTGTTTGATTAGGACCCTTAGAGCAGATATGATTCCTGAAGAACTCTATCTGCAAGCATTCTCTTTCAGACAAATGTTAGGTGAGAGCTGGTAGGTTTGTGTGAAGGATAGAAGTGTCACCTTTAATTTTACTTATGACTCTAATATGTGTCTGCATGATTATGGCAAGGATAATATTTAAATCATGGAATGTAAAGTGAGAATGAACTGTTATAAATTGTTTGGCATGATTTCCCAAAAGCTGGGTATTTCTCAAATTCTGATCTTCAGATCAACTACTAATTCCAACTTTTCATGAAATGTAGGCTTGAAAGTCAGAATCCACAAGCAAAATTTAAAAAAATGCCATGTAGCTTATGGATTCCAGATTCCAAAAAATGTAACAGAAGTGATGAGAACCATGCAGAATGATTAAAAACACGTATTTTTTTTAATATCTTCTTTTGCAGCTGTTATGTCAAGAAGCCAAGAAGGACCAGGAGAGATGGGAAAAGCAGTTCTCATTCCCAAAGATGATCAGGAAAAAATGAAAGAACTTTTTAAAATCAACCAATTTAATCTTATGGCTAGTGACATGATTGCATTCAACCGAAGTTTGCCTGATGTAAGATTAGAAGGGTGAGTTGATATATATATATATATATCTTGGCACTTAAATGCTTTGTTTATATTTCCTTATGTGGTTATACTGTAGAGAAATCAATCCATTTGAGCTCACTGGGAATTCTGGGCAATCATGCTGTGAAATGGTACATAAATGCCTTGAACTTCATAGTTGTGGTACTGGCATCCTTACCATGTATGAATCATGATGTATAGATAGGTGGAGAATGACATGAGCTGGGCATCAAAGCCTGGTTTGAATCTTGTGCCACAAGAAACAAAAGGAGCCCTGAATGAATCCTGAATCCAAATACTAGATTGCCAGATAGAAAATGTTAGTATGTCTGGGGGAAAAGCAAGCATTAGGCATAGGAATGAAGTTGCTTAGA